GGTCATCCCAAGGCAGAGGCTGGGGCCAGGCCCCGCCTCATGGGAAGGCTGGGGCAGCAACCAGCTTGGAAGAGCTTGGAAGCCTCAAGCCCTGGGGAGGCCCCTGTCTCCAGAAGCCACATCCCACTGAAATGAGTGCCTCCCATGAGGAGCTGCAAGACCTTGTCTGACCAAACCTCCTGGAGGGGTCAGATGACCCTCATGGGAAGCGTCACTGACTCTGGGGATTGAAGTCCCGGTGGGCCCAGCTCGAGCCACCAGCCCCCAGCCTTGAAGGGCCAGGTCCTTCCGTGCCTGCTGTCCCCATAGATCTCTCTCAACCTGCACCTGTGGGATGTGTATTTGCTAGAAGGGGATCAGGTGTTGACGCCGATGGCATGCACTGCCTTTAAGGTTCAGAGGAGTAAGTCCATGTGTGTCCAGTGGGACCTGGGGAGCGCTGCGTTCAGACTCTGACTGGCCTGAGGGCAGCTTCCTCACACTGTCCCCATGATCCTCTGCTCTGGCCCAGGGGGACGTCTGGCCAGGTGGGCTGGGCAGGGCACAGTGACACCAACCCCACCTCCTACATGTTCCAGATGAAAGTTGGGAGTGTGGTGAGCACTTCCCTGCCCAGGCCAAACCCCAGCCACAGCCTCCTATGCACATCCGGACCCCTAGGGTGGCCATAAAAGGATCCGGCACTGCCCAGTGGGAGATGGTTGAGGTGGCAATGAGGTATGGGCTCTGATCCCTCCCAGGGAACTGTCCTGGCCTGGTGCCCACCCTGTCCCTAGAGGGCCTCATGAAAACATCCAGGTTTGGCCCATGGGCACATTTTCGGGGCCGGTTCTCCCATACCTAGGCACTGGGTGAAGATGCAGTTCTCGGGCACCATCGGGGCTCTATGAGGAAACTAACAAGGAAGCATGGGGACCTGCCACCCCCAGGTGGGCTTCCATACCAGGTCCCCTCCTGAGTCACCCTCTGGGGAGTCAATAGTGGGGGAGTGCCCCGGACCCCCAAGCCCACTACCTGGGTCTTCCTCTTGCGCCTTTTCTTCCTCCTCTTCCTCCTGGACTCTAAGGATGTACAATAGGCCCCCCGGTCCTCAGGGCAGGAGCTCAGTGCATGTGCACTGGACATGCTGTGCAGGCAGGAGGGGGATGTGGGCAAGACCTCTCCAACAAGCCCCCTCCCACTTTTCACGGTGTCCCACGCTACCCCCCATGGGGCCCTTAATGGCAGTGGAGGAGCCAGACCCATTTGTGGGACCCCCCTGCCCCTCCCTGCAATCACTGACAGCCTCAGAGAGCAGCATAGGTCCCTCACTCCTGAACACCCCTCCCAGGGTGCCAGGACAACAAGCCTTGAGCCAGGGAGACAAGGGAATCAGTGTCCCTGACCCCCAGAGCATTCAGGGCAAGGGCACAGGTGGGACCCCTGGCCAGAGCCAGAGCCAAGAGTTCAGCCAGGTGTGGCAATGGTCTGTCCTGGCATGGACCAGGCAGCCCAGGAGGGCAGAGTGGGCCCCGGATCTGGGCCCTCTTACCCACTGTGGAGACAGGTCCCCATGTGAGGTGTCAAGGGGGCTGGGTGACAGCCAAGGCCCCTCCCACCTGAGTTCTGACTGGGGATCGTATCCCAGGCCCAACAGCCCTGGGATGAGGGCATCGGGCAGGAAGCCCCCAGCCAGCCTGAAGCCTGGGGGGCAGTCCCAGGAGCCACCTGCTGTGTCCCAACAGCTTCCCCACCGCAGGCGACACACACCCCTCCCTCCGGAATCAGCAGCCTGCAGGTGTGTCCTCAGTGTCAGACCCCAGGGGCCGCACAGAGACCCTGAGGACTCCAGAGACCCAGGCAGGTGGGGCCCGGCCCAGAAAGGACTCTTTGGGCCCACAGGAGGTGCTATCTGACCACATGTTTTTCTTTCAGCCAAACCCAAGCAAGGGTTCTCAGCACCCAGGTTTGTGCTGGTTTCATATGAGAGGAAAGCCCTGTGCAAGGGGGATGGGCAGGCCCCTCCCTGCCCACCAGCCTGGTTCCAGCGGCCCATTTGGTCCACTTTCCCGCCATGGGTTCCTCGTCCTGTCACACCCTGTCCTGGTGGGGCTTCCATGTGGCCCAGGGGCATGAGGGGGCTTCTGGGGAGCCCAGGGCAGCAGGCTACTCTCTGGGGGCACCCAGGATTTATGGTGTGCCCAGCCTGGCCTCGGCTCAGGGAGGACCTCGGGGTTCCTGGAGGTACCTGCAGCAGAACTCCATGCTCCGACTCCCAGTGGACTTGGATGTGGGGAGCCCTTGGTTCCTTTATAATTTCAAACCGAGCTGCTGGGCTCATGTCCTTTCTGAATGTGTCCTGGACAGCCCCGGGACCATGGGGCAGGCTTAGCCCAGGAAGCTCATGGGGACCCCGATATCAGGCCCTGCCCAGGCCCATCAGGACTAAGAGGGAAGTTGGGAGATGCCCCCACTGCAGCATGGGCACCTGCATCTGGCCCCCTTGGGGGCGAGTGACTGGCTTGCCTAGAAGGAACCAGGGTGGCACCGCACCAGCTGCCCTGCAGCTCCAGACACCTTGGAAAACGCTGTTCAGTGAGGAAGCTGGTCCCGTCAAGGCCACGAGAGAAAAAGGTGAGCATGGCATCCCCGCAGCCCAGCCAGCGAGCGCCATGCCCTGGGTCCTCGATCCCAACCTGTGGGACAGTGTCCCCCTCCCAGGGCACAATTCCTAGGCCAAGAGGGGCCTGGCCTAGATCCCAGCCCTGGAAAGAGCGGGGAACCAGGGATGTGGTGGGCTCCCAGCTGCAGTCGGCATGGCCATGCAGGGGACCCTGGCACTGCGGAGCTCTGCACTGTCACAATTCACCTTGCAGAGGCCGGCGAGATCCCGAAGCCTCGCAGCAACTGTGGCAGCCACAGCAGGCGCCACCACCATGTGCCTTCCAGCTGCCAGTGCAGGGTTTCCTGACAGCAGGGTGCCCTGCAGCCCTCTCCTCGGTGGCTCAAACGCTGAAGGTATCCGTGGTTCATGTTTCCAGTGCTCCCACCAAAGAGAATTACTATGAAGGATGCTCTTGTCCTGAGGTGAGCAAAACAGCACGCCGTGTGGATGGAGCTGGCATCTTTCCCAGCCACCATGCTTGCTGGATGGGCCCACGGAGCAAGTGGCCTTGAGACAGGCATGGGAATGGAAGAGGCTCAGCATCCTGCACGTGCCCTTACCGAGGCTCACTGGGCTGACACCATCGCTCATCTGTGGACGAGACACTTGGTCTCGTGCCAATCCCTGGGTTGGCACCATTTCCCAGGAGGACCAGCTGGCCACCTGCTGGCAGGTTAATCACACTGCGGAGGGGGCTGAGATTGGCTTTCACTCCACTGAGCCACAACGTGGACACGGACTTGCCATGGACACCCCATTCCCAGCTGGGGATGTGCAGTACTGCGTTCCCACCTCGGGGCCTTAACTCTGCCACCTCTACTTGGAATGTTCTCAGTTCCCTCCAGGCTTCTAGAAGCATCTGGGCCAGAGCTCATGGTTGGATAAGCACCCGAGGCCCCACAACCCAAACAAGCTTCCCATCCTCATTTTACTTTTTGTCAAACTTATGAAAATTTATTAAGATGTGACTTACATCCCTGGTAAGTACACTGCTCAAAAGATATTCACACACCAGCCCCTAGATCACAAAGCCAACCACGCCCAGCCCCTCCCAGCACCCCCAGCCCTGAAACCAGTGTTCTGACTTCTGAGGGCACCATGAATCTTCCTTTTGTACTTTACACTCATGGAAGCATAACCACCTTCATGTTTTAAAATAAATGTTTACTTTTGAAATAATTTTAGATACACAGAAAAATTGAAAGGTACTATAGTTACTCCTACACTTTCCATCCAGCTGCCCTTAATAACGACATTTTGCATTACCATGGCACATTTGTCCAAACTAAGAAATTTAGGTTGGGTGGGCCACACGCGGTGGCTCACACCTGTAATCCCAGCACTTTGGGAGGCCGAGGCGGGCGGATCACGAGAGTAGATCGAGACCATCCTGGTTAACACGGTGAAACCTCGTCTCTACTAAAAATACAAAAATTAGCCGGTGTGGTGGCAGGCGCCTGTAGTCCCGGCTACTCGGGAGGCTGAGGCAGGAGAATCACTTGAACCCGGGAGGCAGAGGTTGCAGTGAGCCAAGATTATGCCACTGCACTCCAGCCTGGGTGACAGAGACTCCGTCTCAAAAAACAAAACAAAACAAAACACAACCCAAAAAACAAAAAAGAAATTCAGGCTGGGTGTGGTGGCTCACACCTGTAATCCCAGCAATTCGAGAGGTCGAGGCAGGAGGTTCAGGTTCACTTAAGGCCAGGAGACTGTGATTCGCCTGGGCAACATAGGTAGACCCTGTCTCTGGAGGAAAGTAAAAAAAATTAGCCAGGCATGGTGGCGTGTGCCTATAGTCCCGTCTAGTCAGGAGGCCGAGGCGGGAGGATTGCACACACATGCCTGTCGTCCCAGCTACTAGGGAGGCTGAGGCAGGAGAATCGCTTGAACCCGGAGGTCGGAGGTTGCAGTGAGTCGAGATCTCGCCACTGCACTCCAGCCTGAGCGACAGAGCAAGGCTCCGTCCCAGAACCAAAAAAAGTTACGATGTAAAGTACTAGTTGTGATGTCACGATGCCTGCAACTTAGAAATAGTTTAACGACAACACATGCATACATAGCTACAGGTGGGGAGAGAGCAACCAGCAGAAATGGCAAAGTGCTGGGTTGTCTGATTGAGGCGGAGGTATACAGGTGTTCATTGCACTGTTTTCAACTGTTCCGTATGCGTTAAAATTATCGTAATACAATGTTAGAGGGAAAAACCCTTTCTTCTTCTGCGCCTTTCTTCTGCGCAGGCGCCGTGGGCACGAGCCGCACGCAGAGCCTTACGACTCCCTTGCGGTCCCACACGCGCCGCGCCAGCAGTCCCTCCAGACTCCATCTGCGCATGCTCATGCCCCATCGCGCCCGCCCCGCCCCTCGGGCGTACGTGAGCGCGCAGGGCGCAGGCGCGCGGGTCCCGGCAGCCCGTGAGACGCCAGCTGCTGGACGCGGGCAGCCGTCTGAGGTGCCGGAGCTGCGGGAGGATGGAGCCGCTGAAGGTGGAAAAGTTCGCCACCGCCAACAGGGGAAACGGGCTGCGCGCCGTGACCGCGCTGCGCCCCGGAGAGCTGCTCTTCCGCTCGGATCCCTTGGCGTACACGGTGTGCAAGGGGAGTCGTGGCGTTGTCTGCGACCGCTGCCTCCTCGGGTGCGTATGGGGCGCCCTCGCCCACCTGAGTCGCGAGCTGTGTGGGCTGCTGGGGGCGTCGGGCGGGCGGCGGCCGCGGGACTCCTGCTGGATGGGGCTGCACGGGCAGCTTGGCGGGGCTGCCCCTGACGCGCGTGTGCCCGGGGGCGGGTCGCGGCTGACAGGCCGCCCTGACACCCCCCTCGGTTGCCGCAGCGGGGCTGGGGAGGGGGCCCGGGCTCAGCCACTGCCCCGCAACCTGGGCTGCGGTGGAAATGGGAAAGCCGTTGGGCAGACTTAAGGGGGAAGCGTTGTGTCGCGTAATTTTGCTGGGAAACCAAAAGTCGGTGTCCTGTGCGACAAGCGTCCTTGGTGCGGCTGTGGAAATCGCAAGTGGCGGGCGTGGGGTGGGTGGGAGCCGGGATGTGTATAAATCAGGCTCCCCTGCAGAGGCCCCGCCGGTGAAGCGTCAGGCTTGCAGGAGGTGGAAGAATCTTGATGTTTACCGTGCACCTCTGGGGTCTGGGTTCTGGGAGGCCTGGGGATACGAAGATGAACGAGACCTCCTTAAGGAGCCGATGAAGTGAGAGAGATAATTGCAGTGTACCAGAAGGGCTGAAATAGAGGGGCAATTAATGTGCGGTGGGAGCATCAGACACGGTCCCCCGTGTGCTGTGCCGTTTAATGGCTGTGCAGGCGTGTCTAACTCTTAACCACCTTTCTAGATGCAGGGATTCACGTGAAAGTGTTTTGGAAGCCTGGACGCACTGTGCCTATGTGAAAGCAATTTATGGAAATGTGTAACATACATACATAGTTATGGGAATTGCATTCAGTCAGCAAATACTGTTGAGCTTCTGTGTGCGAGGAAGAAGAGTTCTGTTTTGAGACGAGTACAATGATTTTGTGCATGGCCGCTTTTCAGACCTGCCAGTCTGAGATTTAGGTGGGTGGAGGTGGGACGGTAAGTGCAAAACTCGTATCTGTAATTTGACCATTGTTCTTACTTTGTTCTCATTTGATTCATAATTCAGGAATATGACTTTGCATTTTAAAGCTACCAAATAATAATTTTATCTGTTGCTTTCTGAAGTAATGGTAACAGCGAAAACATCTGTTCGGGAGAGAGAGCAACACCTTGAAGTTTTTGTAAACTGCGTGGTTGAAAACAATTCATTCCTTTCAAGATAGTTCTTGGAACAGAAAAGTTTTGGAATGAATAAATGGTGACAAATTGGCAATTCAATCATTAGAGCTGCACTTGAGTCCTGTGACACACGGAATTGTGCATTTCCAAAATAAACTACACAAACCCTTTGTGGGCGGGATGCTTGTTAATTTACTATACTGTTTCATTAGTCTCATTCATTTTTCCTGTTTGCAGTAACTGTGGGGATTTAAGCAAAAAAGGAATTTCATGAAAAAGTACTGGGGGAGTTCTCAGTGTTGCTTTAAAGTCTGCCGAGACTTGACTGGACATGGGCCGGAACCAAGTCAGCATTGCACTGCAAAAGTAGTTGGGACTGGGGTCTGGGAAGTATATCACTTCTGTCGCCTGATAATACTGGATTCTGCAGTATGCACCATGAACATCATGGACACTGAACCCTGGTACTGCTGCTGCTGCTGCTGCTCCTTGGGAATCTGGCTGTTGCTGGAGAGTTATTCTCTCAACCATTCTTCTTTGTGATACTAGCTTTTATTCAGAATCCTCAGTGAGTGTTTTGGATTGGCTAAACTTAGGTCACTGCCTGCACCTTAGCTGCAAGGGAGGTTGAGAAGGTATTTAGCCTTTTTGGCTTTTGAGATAGAAGGCAGGCTCGCTCTACTTCCCACCGATAGTTATCCAGTGGGGAAATCAGCACACATAAACATAGAAAAAGGGATATAAGTAAATGCTAAGCATCGAAACAAAACAAGCTGAACAGATTCTTCATAATGACTAACAAATACTTACTAGTATTTTACACAGACACAAAATATTTGCACTTATTTTGGATTGCCAGGACACGCAGTTCACTTATGTTGTGGTAGTTAGTTGGTCTGTTTGAACACTCCCATTTTAGTGGTTATAGTGTTCCAAAGAGCCTGGTTGGGAATCACTACAACCTGAAAATAGTGTTAGGGAAATGTTGGTGCATTGTTTGATGTAGTTTTCTGCCACTGTTGAATGCCTGTCCTTAAGGGATAAGTTTCCGTATACTTATCATCTTGTAAGTAAAATTTGTTTCTCTTTATTCACTGTCCATTGTGAAGTCTTTGAGAATAGGGCATCTTTCAATTTGTGTAGCCCCCGTGTCTAACATAGTAAGCCCTTAGTTTTAGTATGAATGTGTGGCAGAATTTTCCTCCTAACTGCCCCTCTCCTTCTGCTGCCTTCCATCTGAATTAAGTATGGAATGAAAATGTTAGTTTGTAGCAGTTAACAGTTACATGGGAAAGGAAAAATCAAAATAGAATTAAAAAGACAGATATTGATGATAACTACAGTCATGCACTGCATAACGACATTTTGGTCAACGAAATACCACATACATGACAGCGGCCCTGTATGATTATATCATTTTTTAACTGTACCTTTTCTGTGTTTGGATACGTTTACATACACAAATACTTACCATTATCTTCCAGTTACCCACAGTATTCAGTACAGTAACATGTGGTACAGGTTTGTAGCCTCTGTGCAGTAGGCAGCACAGACAGTACCTGCTAGCCTAGGTGTGTAGCAGGCTGTACACTCTGGGTTTATGCGAGGATATGCCATGATGTTCCCACAACAATGAAATCACCTAATGACGTCCTTAAGGGATGTACAACTCTACTTCCTTAGGCTCCAGAAATAATGGTTACCAAGTTTTACATGAGTTCCTTTGGTCTAGAGCTGTTTTGATTAGTGGCTTTAGTTCTGTATACTTGTTTTTGTTATGGAGACAGGTGAACCTGCTTCAAGGCTTACCTTACCTTTTTCCTCTCATTAAGGAATGGCTTCTGGTTTTTCATGTTGTGCCTGGAAAAGAAAACGAAGTATGTAAGTTGTAGAAAGAGTAAATGGCAATGAAATGATAACCTGAAATCACTTTTTTTTTCTTTTTTAAGATGGAGTTTTGCTCTTGTTGCCCTGACTGGAGTGCAGTGGTGCGATCTTGGCTCACTGCAACCTCCACTTCCCGGGTTCAAGCAATTCTCCGGCCTCAGCCTCCAGAATAGCTGGGATTACAGGCGTGTGTCACCACGCCAGGCTAAGTTTTTGTATTTTTAGTAGAGATGGGGTTTCACCATGTTAGTCAAGCTGGTCTCAAACTCCTGACCTCAAGTGATCCACCCGCCTCAGCCACCCAAAGTGCTGGAATTACAGGCGTGAGCCGCTGTCCCTGGCCTGAAATCACTTATATTGTCCTTCTGCCATTGCATGCATTTTTAATTTGACGGAGATAGAAGAGGTTGATTGACAATTGGGTATGGGTTATGTGTATTTCCTGTTTGCTTTGCTCAGTGTAGCACATAAAATTCCATTGTTATGATTTTATTTGTAAACCTTCTCACTCCCTAGTGTAGTACTCTAAGTCTAATCTTCTTTATATCCCCAGGGTCTAGCACATGGGAGATGCTAATCATTCAAAGGTTAATATTTTGGGGAACTTTAAGTAGCTGTATGTTTGTTTTTGTTTTTCTCAAGTTCCAAGTTGCCTGCAGCTTCCATATCAAGAGTTACTTCTGGCAAACTCTAATGACAGTTTCTCCGATAGCGTAAAGAGAATAGCTCATCCTGCATTAAGGCTGAGATGAAGCTTAGTGCCTCCCAGGAGGAAGGAGGAGGACTTGGAAGTAGATGTGTCATCCCTTTCAGTCCTGGTGGTTTGTGGGAAGCGGGGGGACAGAGGTAGAGAAAACAGATTGTGAGAAATATGTGTTCTGATCTTTCTTGGCTGGCTAAAGTTCTAGGGTTAGGGTGGGGATGTTAAGTGGGTTGAGGGGACAGTCAACAGTGGAAGGCCTTTTGCTCTGCTCCTTATGTGGAATCTTGAGAGGAGATGTTATGTAGGTTAGTGATAGGCCAACACGGGCCTATAGCACAGCAGTGGTGGAAGGAAGTGGCTAGATAGTTGAGTTTGTAGTAGCAGGGGATTCTGAAATGCTCTCATACCACTTTGAAGGAGGTGGAGGAGCTTATTGGCCTGGTGGAACTGCTGGCATCATGACAAAAGACTGTGTGACTATAGACTGGAGGTCAGGATCACAGACTCCAGGGATGAGAGCCAGCATGACATCCTAAAAGATGAGATGGGACCAGTTCAGCCATAGGACCTGATTACCTCCTTGCAGCAGAGACCAGTGAGGATCCAGAGAAACAACCCAGATCCAGGGTCTTCTTGCCACTATTTCTTCTAGGATGTCCTATAAGACCTTGGAGGGAAACCTACCCAAAAGCAACCATTTAAACCAGCCCGGGTAAGGAGTTCAACACAGCCTGAGTATTAACTGGAAGAGATTGAGATAGTGTTTTAAACCAGCCCCGGTAAGGAGTTCAACACAGCTGGAGCATGAACTGGAAGAGATTGAGACACTGTTTTAAACCAGCCCGGGTAAGGAGGGGGAGTTCAACACAGCCTGAGCATGAACTGGAAGAGATTGAATCTGTTTAAACCAGCCTGGGTAAGGAGTTCAACACAGTCTGAGTATTAACTGGAGAGATTGAGACACTGTTTTAAACCAGCCCGGAGTAGAGTTCAAGGAGTTCAACACAGCCTGAGCATGAACTGGAAGAGATTGAGATACCGTTTTAAACCAGCCCAGGTAAGGAGTTCAACCAAGTCTGAGTATTAACTGGAAGAGATTGAGATACTGTTTGACAAGTTTTAAATTTCCTGGATATTTATTAGAGTAGATATTCATGAGTAATATTAGATTAATTATAGAAAAAACAGCACATGTTCAGGAGACAGATTAGATCAGTTATAGAAAATAAAGCAGGCTGGGCATGGTGGCTCATGCCTGTAGTCCCAGCACTTTGGGAGATTGAG